AAATGTTTACAAGTTCATCATAATTCTGTCTAATAAATAAAAAGACAAAAGAATGACAATTTTCAGGAAAAAATTCGCTTTTTAAACACCTGAAAAGACGCAGAGCTAATAAAAGATTGCAAAATTACAATCATATGTACCTGCCAATTGGTGAGGTTGTGGACAAACAGGTATTTTTAATTATTGGTAGAAGTCCAAAATGGTACAATTCTTATATAGGTTTATTTGGCAATCTCTCTCAAAACTATAAATACATTTACTGTTTGATGTAGCAAGATCAAATTTTAAAATTTACCCTGCAGATTATACTTGCATACTAACATAAGAGCACATATACCAGACAATTCATTAGAGCATCATTGGTTTATTAAAATCTTTTGACATTACAGGCTATATAATATACACACATTCCAATACTATGTAGATAGAAAAAAGAATGAGAATGCTCTCTGCATCTCATTAATAAAAGAACTCCAGTATATTTTAGAGAAAATGGCAAGATATGTAACATGGTGTATATATATGTATACACTACCTCTTATACGAGGGGGAAATAAATAAAAATGCACATCACTGTGTTTGTGTGTGTTTTCTTGCCTATGCTTAAAGAAACAGTACCAAGACAAATAAATTAATAAAAGTGGTTATCTGTAGATGCGGTAGGGTAAACAGGAATGGGAATGAGACCTTAGAAAATACCTCCTTATATTGTTTTGTATATATTACCTATACATATTACCAAAAAAATGTAAAAACATTTTTTTCTACACTGTCATGAATATTTACAAACATTTCCTAAAAAATGCAACATTTTTTTCAGATAGTTAACATTGCTGACACCATGCATAACCAGTATGACGAACTTAACACTCCAGTCCAGTGACTCAGGTGTTCAAATAGATCTCTCTTTCCCTATACTAAAAGGCTACTTACAGAGGAGAAGAAGGCACTGCAGAAAAAAACAGAAACTACAGAAAATATAACAAAAATAATATTCAGTGAGAAGTCTATTATAAAGATAATCGCTAACATCTTAAAATATTTCTATAGTCTCTTTCTCTCTGTTCGTTTGCATACATTTTATGTTGCTACCTTGTACTTGATACACTGATATTATAGACACTGACATTAAATATACTGAAATGTAATACCTGTGATATGGATATTATAAACGAGAGAGAAATTTTCACAGATCATAAACTGAAGAGGATATAAAGAAGGGCTTAATTCCTTCACCTACTCATTCAAAAACTGTTTGATATCAGAGTATGTAAGGTAATGCACATGTTAATTTGCTTGATTTAGTTATTCCACATAAATTAAAAATCATATTGCATGTTGTTTATCATAAATATATATAATTTTGATCGATCAAATTTAAAAAAAATTATCAGGCACTTACATGTGCCAAGCACTGTGTCATGAACCAAGAATATGGTACTAAACAACAATGACATGATCCCCGCCTTCATACTGCTTACAGTTTACAACAAGAGTTCTCAAATTTTTGGCCCCAGGACCCCTTTATAAACTTTTAAATTTTGAGAACCCAAAGCACTTTCATTTATAGGAGTAATAGCTAGCTACATATATCATGTTATTCACTTAAACTATGAGTTTTAAAAAATTTAATTTATTTAAAAAGAATAGGACACCTATTATATGTCAATATAAATAGTATCTTCTAAATTTTATAAATCGTTCAGTATCTGGGTCAAAAGAGAAAAGTTTGATTTTCATATCTACTATAGCATTCTGTCTACCATAATATGTTGTTTAGTTGAAGTATACAAAGAAAAAAAAAGTTTCACACAGATACATAAGCTGGAAAAGGAATACTACTTCAATAGCCTTCAAATAATTAGTAAAATACTTCTTCAACACTAAACCAAAATGCTACAAGGGGTAGTTTCTTAAGGTTAGTTGCTATGTGGAATCTAAAAACATATCAATAAACTTTTTATATTCTGTGTCATTCATACAAGTACTTTATGAACATATTACATTTCATCACTTAGCAAATTTACACACACACACACACGAATACGTTATTTGTGTATATATAAACAAATATACATATACACAAAAATATACATATTTGTGTATATATAAACCAAATGTCTTAAGGCATGAAAATTGACATGTATATTCTTACACATGAAATACTGTTCATGAAACAGTTTCAGGGTTGTTAAAAATTAAAATTTACCAAAAATCATCTGACAGGTAACTTCCTTGAAAATAGAAGAGAAAATTTCATGAGAGTTCAAGCGATTGAAAAGCTTTTATTAATATGATATGTCAGCACTGTAAAAATAACTTCAAAAGCCTCATTCCCCATAATATTGCTGCTAGACTGAAATTCCTATTATCATTCTCAGTAGAGTCAAATAAATATCCATTCCATGGAATCTCCTGGTCATGTTCTATAAGATTAAATGCTACTTTAGGCTGGAACACAGACTATTCTAAAAGATTTACATTTACATTCAGATTTTTCCATATCAGAAATCCAATTATATTCAAAACATTAAATATGTTTTTCTGAAAATGTTCCCTAGATCATTTTAGTAGGTTTGGAAAATATTTTTTACAATATTTTATAACTCTTCCAATTCAAAGCCAAAAATTGGCATTATTAATAGAATGCAGTGTTTCCAAAAATTTTAATTTAAGGAAATTCTATACTAGTGTTCAGTTATTTCATATTAGATTTAAACTGAACAACATAAGGAAGCCCCTCATATGTATTCCCGAGAAATCACAATATGCAAGGGATAAAGCGGAGCACCATCATTTGCAGCAAATAGATTACATTCCTAATAAATGCAAAAAATAAAAATAAAAAACCATTAGAATGAATCAGAAATTTGATAACAGAGGCTGTATATACTATTCATATTTTTAAAAAGGCATTTTTATAGGTTAATAACAGCCAACTTAAAAAATCCATGGGAGGAGGGAAAAGAGAAATCCCAGTGACTATCAAAGTACTTAAAATGCCTAAAGTAAACCTAATAGGAATGTGAAAAGCACATAACAGAAAAGAGACTTTATTCCAGCATACAGGCACATACCACTACCACCACCAGAATAGAGGCTTCTATCTGGTTTCTAGATGGAAAGAAATAACATTATCGTAAAGTTGTCCATTCTTAATAAAGTAATTCATTGGTTCAATAAAATTTTTATGGAATCTGGGAAGGTAATTTTGAAGTAGACAGGAAAAAGAAAAGTCAAGAAAAATTTTGAAAGGAAGAATAGAGATAAGGGAATTTACTGAATATCTAATCATATTCTAAAACAATTATAATAGCAATATCTTGGTTTCGGAAGAGAAAGACATAGCAATATAACAGAATTAAGAGTTCAGAAACAGATCTAATATGTATAAGAATTTATTTTAGGATAAAAGTGCTCTCAAACCATGCAAAAGTACATGTAATTTAAAATATTTGGACAACTGATCATCCCATTGGGGAAAAAAACAGGTTTCTACCTCATAATCAAGTTTAATACAGTTTCAGATTAAAATGAAACATAAACCATAGAACTATTAGTTTTCTAAGACTTTTTTTACACTCTAGCTCAGGGAGAGAGAAGGAAATGGAAAAAAGCCATTCCAGACAAGGCACAACTTCCAACAAATAAAAGGAAAGAGACAAACAGATTTTTACTAAATAAAAACTTAAAATTTTCTGTGTGACACTACAAGGTTAAAAAATAAGAGATGAATACAATACAAAAGATTACTATCCACATCAGAGTTCCTTAATCTGAGAAGCAAAGTTCAAAAAGTAACCAAAAATTTGAAAAATGATGCAAATAGGCAATTTACAGAACTATTAATACCTATAGGTAAGTGATTGAAAAGTAGATCGACTTCATCTAGGAATCTACAGAATGTTTTAATGAGCTACTTTTTCAGTTATCTAACTGGCAAAAACCCAAATCAAAACCAAAACCAAACCAAAACAAAACAAAAACAACAGTTCCAGCAATTTTGTGACATTTCACACCACTTGTCTATTTCATTTATTTGCCAAAAGAGATGTGAGACGATACTCTTCATTTGAGAACAAGAGGTCTAAAAAGATGGCACATTTTCACCAGCAGGACACCTAACTGTGCAAGATGACGAAGCTAGCATCTGCTAACAGTTGGTGCACGTGCCAGGGAATGGTCCTCCCTGCCCCGTGCTTGGTCAGTAGACTGACCACATGGTCAGCTAAGGAAGAGAAGCTGAAAACATCTTGGTTGGCAGAAACATTCCTTTAAAAATTTTCCACCAAATTAAATCAATTAACTGATAGGCTAATGATTTGCCTTATTCAGGCCAAAGATACAGGACATACTTTAGGAGGAAAGTATTATAGACTATTCCCCTAGAGGTTATAAAACCCCAGTACAGGTTTAGAGATCCAATATGTTGTATGGGTAACAGAGAAAAAGACCAAACAAACAAATAAAAAAACCCCACTAAAGTTGAGAATTAGAGACTTCAAATATCGATAGTTTAAACTTTCCCTAATACCAAGTACAGCACATTAATACAGGTATAAAATACAAGATAAAAGCACTGAATCAATACTTTCACATGAATTAATGTGAACTGATTCCAAAACAGAATAAAATACAGTACATTCCAAGGAAGAGCCCTTCATGCTACTCAATAGATACTCATTTTCTACTTTTTATTTTACAATAAATCTGTATGTCAATAAAACTGTATTAACAGTACATCTTCAACAAGTATTTAGTAAAAAGCCTAATATAATGTTGACTTGTCTTATCTATACTAGCCATAACTTTTCTTGTTTGTTGACAAAATGCAATCTCTTAAATGTTTCAGAGAAATGATTGAGCATGTTAAAACTTAGGTACTGCTATGTAATCTTTAATGCATAATGACTAAACAACATTTTGAAAGAAGTAATATAAATGGCTTAGTATTTTTTATTGTATCTTACATTATCTTGTGTATAGTCATGAACACATACCTGACATAGGTCTTTCTGAGGCAAAGGTGGGGATCGTTCTTCATACACAGGAGGTGGTTTATGTGTGGGTGGAAGGTCAATCCTGCATTGCAAAGGTTAAAAAATGTGATTGCCACATTTAGGAAAGAAAAAAAAGCAAAATCAAGGTTCTCATAAAGTTTGAGAGTATTTTCTTCATACTATATATTTATACGAGTCTACACTTTAATTCACTTCTTATATTGCCATTAATCTATGAAAGATGAAAATAAAAGTAAATATTGGTTTTTAAAGGTTCCCATATGTAGAACCAATCATGTTTAAAGAAGAAAGTAAAATAGAAGAATTGAAATTATTAAGTAATCCAATATATGACTTTACTTAAGCAGTATTTTAATATTTGACTATGTCCATCAACATTTTAGAGACAGTCAAATGCGTCACCTTTCCTCCAAAGTGTCATAATGAAAAAAGTTTACACTTTATTTTAGAAATACTTCCAAACTGATTTTCAAAAGCTCTAGCACACTTAGAATATTCGCCAGATAATATTTTCAACCTACAGACCATTATAAATTTTCCCACCTAAAATAAATAAAATCACCATTACATTTTCAGGAAATGCATTTATTTTTTCCAAAATGATATGATCTATCAAAAAAATAAATATTTTCATATTTTAAATATTGTTTACTTATAACAAAGATAGGTTTAATATACCTTGTAGCTCTCTGCATTTCACAAAATTTTGTAAATATATTCTCATGCTTTTGAAGATCACAGATAACATTTTCAGTACTTGTGCTTAGTAAATCAAACAAAAAGTTATATTACAGGATTAAGGAGAATGAAAGCTATAGATGCTGAAGTAATAAATTCTCTGTGGTCTAATAATGTCTCAATATGAGCATAAACTAGTATTTTAAATGATTAAAACTTACATTAATTTGTTAGCCTACCAGTAAATTATGTTTTTAAAATTACAGAAAAGCCTAAGATAATCTCAGAGTTAAGATTAAATTAAGCACATGCTAGTCACTCTTGGAAGACTGAAGCACTCCAGTCCCACAAGCATTATACTGAAAGAGCAATTTACCATCCTTTATTTAAAATAATTGTTTCTTCTTATCTAATTAAAATTGCAGCAAATTTCTAGCTACAAGGTGCCACAGGCCATTTAGGTGAGAAAAACGAGGCTCACTGAGAGAAAGTAACTTACTTGGTCATGGTCATAGGACTAACTTGATCATGACAGAGCTGTAACTAACACACAAGTGTCTTTGATACAAAGACTCGTGCTAGAATTATGCCAAATTAGAGAAGCAAAGACATACAAAGCATTTTACGAAGACAGAAGAAATATATTCTCTGGAAGTCAACCTTATGTCCTAACATAAAAACATTAATAAACCACATAAGAAATAATGCCACTTGTAAAGAGCTTCACTTCATCATTTATGAAATACTGTCTTACTCTCCTCTCCTCTCAACCATGTGAAGCAGGAACAGCACTATTCAGATGAAGTAACAAAGATGTTACTTCTTTGATTTCTCAGATGAAGTAACAAAGCTGTTGATGGAATTAAGAGAACTGAGACACCAGTCATCTGATTCTACAGCAAGGTGCAATTTCTGCCTGACAACTCTATCTCAATGACTAGGCCAAAAATACTGCTTATTCTTTAAATAAGAAGATGCGTATTTTATAACTCACCAAACCAAAAAAAGTACTTTTCTTAAGGAAAAAGTTTTAAAACTCAATGTATTTAATAACTTGATAGTTAAAAGTTATATCTATACATAAGACACACATATAAAATCTGAAGAAACCATTAAACCTTCAAAGATATTTTTTACATGTCTTTTGTTACCATTTCATGAAAGGCCTTCATTTCTACTGAGAAGGCAGGACAACATGAAGTATTACTATGTTACCCTTTAGAAAGATGTCTAATATACTCTAGGTGAAAAATTTAAAGCTGTTCTTTACCTCTAGCAATTTACTTCTAGACAATGTTCATTTACCAAGATACAGTTTGAGATATTCCCATGAAACTAGGGTCATCTAACAAAGCCCTAACATTAACCTTTCTTCTATCCCTTAAGTACTTTATGAGTAGCTATAAAGGTAAATATAAATATTGACACATACTGATATTCATAGTTGAACAAAGGCAAAAAACGTTACCTACATTTTGTCAAGATAGGATGGTCTCTTTTTTCGAGGAGTCAGCAGCACAGTCACAAAGATAGCAATGATGAAAAGAGCAAGAACAGCTCCAATTACCGCTCCAGCTACAGCTATGGAAGAGGTCTGCTTAAATGGAACATCTGTAAAGGAACAAAAATTAGGCTTTTCAAATAATCTTAAAAATAATTCTTGAAACTGCATATCTTAATTTCTACAATGTGCAAACTATCTGACTGAGTATATTAACAAACAGCCAGGTTAGAGGACCCCAAATTTGATTCATTAGGTTTAGTGGCATTATGCTAAAACCCTCCCTTCTTCCTTGTATTACATTAATACACAAGCTTAATTTTTTAAAAATTATGTAAATATACCCAGTCAAACATCAATAAGAAAATATATTCTCAATGTGTAAAGAGTATCTAAGAAGACAGAGAAAAAGATGAAAGTAATTTTAAGTTTGTACTCGAAAAGGTAATTTTAAAAATCAGTATTCTCTAGTAGAAACAACCCATAATACAGACATTTAGCACTTTTATTCTATCAAAATTTAAAAAAACTCTATTAACAAAATCAAAAATTTTCAGGGGCAAAACAGAAAATATCCCAGATTAAAAAAAAACACACACAGTCAAAAAGTTAACATTATACATCTTAAGATTTGAAAAATATTTAAAATATAAATATTAAAACAGGACTTGTACAAAATTTCCCTTAATTCATGCACATTTAATACAAAGTACACTAAAAATAGCTTCTCTACTACAATAAATAGAAATTCTCACTATCTCCCGGCGACAGACTTGTCATTTCTGAATATCAGTTTCTCTTTCCCAACTGCACCACAAATTTTGTAAGAAAGGATTTAAAAACCATTATTTGGCTGTTAGCATTTCACATTTTTCCAAAAAATTGAATCACTATTTTATGAACTCCCAAATAAGGTAATCTACTAAAACTATTACAAGTACTACATATTTTCAAATGTAAATATAAAAAATATAACAAAACAATCTTTAGGTGTATTAATGTTGACAATTTCAACTATATTAAATCCATCAACTAAATTTTGTGGAGATTCATGAATTACAAAGTTCCTTCACACACCTGATTATATCTTTCTTACTAATAAAAAAAGATACTCAGATACCATTCTATACATAAAGATACTGCAGTTCTCAAGTTAAATCTGCCAAGACCATTCAATCATAGTAGAAAACACAGAGAGAAATAGTTAGGTTGGAGCAGGGTGGAAGCCTCCACAGTTACCCCTTGTTCTAAGAGAAGAATGTTTTCATTAACATATATAATGCAAACTAATGAAGAGGTCTCCATTTTTACTTAAATTGACACAATCTTCACATATACACTTAAATAACTGCAATAATTCTTAGGACCCAGACATGGCAAATTTACAGAACTAGAACTGTTGATTTTGGAATATGTTTCACCTACTTACCATGATAGTATTCCCATAGAAATACATATTCAGAAGTATTTTCCAATTCTGTTTTTATTAACATGGTATTTTAGATTGCCAAAAAGAATGTTTTACTTTCTTTCAAATTATAAAGATGTCTTTAGGATATTAACAATCCTGAGACATTTATTAATGGCTCATTTTATTAAGACTCATTTTGAAATAAAAAACTTACACCAGTAAGTGCAAGTCACTCATTTCAGTAACATTTCCAATGAATACAATCTAAAAATAGTAAAAAAAAAAAAAAATACAAAATTATTCTGAAACACTATAACCCACTTAATCATTCATGGTGACCCTCATTTGATAATACAAGCCTGGTTTGCCTATTGTTATTCAATTTTTTAATCTCACTATCTCCGTTTGAATATGTGCTAGGTAAGAAAAATATCTGAAACCCAGTACAGTCAAATGTTATTCTGCACTTGTAAATTTGAAAGAGATTTGGGATAACTTATGGATAATCTATACTATCATTTCCCCCACCATAAAGATTATAGCTTTGACAACTTAATATAGCCATAAAGTAGATGGTCCTATTCAATCCTTAATAATAGGTAGGTTGAAACTATTAAGGTTATGCAGTTTGACCAAGGTCACACATCTCTAGTCAATTGCACAAATAAAAAATACTCATTGTCAAGTACGGTATTTACTCCATACCAGGTATTCTCAAGGTTTCCCTCTCTTGGAAATTTTTCTTTCACTAAAGATGGCCTATTATGTTTGCCCAGCTGTACAGAATTTAATTTTTTGTTCTTATTTTGATGATGACAATGTTAATACCATATTTATAGGTTTTTTTCTAACTTACTTTTGAAAAGTTCACGTTCCTCTTTGAGTGAGGCCAAATTAAGATTCTCAAATCTAATGATTATAAATTTTTCAAACTATACATCCCTTCTAAGAAAACCTTTCATTTAATTTTAGCAGAAATCTGAAATTTGGTAGTGCTCTGTAATAAAACATCATAATGTCCACTTTTAATCTCTTAATTTCCAACTTTAAATAGATACTATTTTAAAAAACCTGAATACTTGTCTAAATAGATATTTCTTAAACATTTTAATTACAAGCTATCCAATTCTATCACACTAGTCTTATAACTTCTAGCTCTAGGATTCTATAACTGAGTGTTGACTGTATATCACACTTCCTTCTATCTTAATTTGGGCATCTTTATTTCACCTGGTTCCATTCATTCTTTATCATATGTATCCTCTCTTTCTCACATACCTCTTTGTAATATTAGAATAGTCTGGTAGGTGCTAAAATGAGCAAACAGAGGAAAAACTAGGTATGAATCTATTTCCCAACTAACTTACTTTATTTAGATAAACCAAGTATGCTAAATATGCATATGGGATATATTTCATATTTTCTTTTCCAATTCTTCTAATTGAGAACAAAAGAGGTTAAGTGCTTAAGGTGTTAATAATTTAAGGGTATTAACAGTTGATAAAAACCAGTATGAACGCAGAGGAGGAGCACAAATCTTTTGTATTCAAGTAAAGCATTTTGATGAAAATTGGTAATTTAGCCCCAACACTGTTTCCCATAAATCCTAGCCCAAATGGACAAGTATTCTGATGAAAACTGAAAATTTAGCCCCAACACTGTTTCCCCATATCCCAGCCCAAATAAATACATACATACTACATAGACTGTATATTCCAACAAAACCACTACAGAGGAAAAAAATTAGTGATAAAATGTATAAACATGGAATTTTTAAACACTAAGGTAGTTTACTGAGTGAATGCCATGAAACAACATTACCATCATCCTAAAGAGATGTTCTACTAAGAGCAGTGACATGCTTACAAGAGGCAGAAAACAAGACAAAAATTATAAAATATTTGTCATTAAAAGACTGGTGCATGCATTTCTAAAACAAAGACTAGCTTGCTTTATCACAATAGTAATGGTAACTCATATTCACTGAAAACTTACCTCCAAAAATAGAAAAAGAGCATTCCCCAATACAAGAGTATGCTACTGCCCCTAACTAAGATACTATGTACATGTCTTCTGGAGAAGATGTTTAAAAATCAACTAGTTACCAATCAATGTAGATATAAGAAATGAGTTTCATTACTTTTTGGGAAACAAAAGTACACAGTATTACAGATCATAAAGTTTTTTTATCAAACACAAATAATTTTTTAAAGAAAAGCTATTCAAACATATGTGTACACCTAATTCACATCTAAAATTGAGACATAATGCCCTATGTTTTCTCTTCAGGCCCTTGGACAAAACTTCAGTGATGACACCACAGATTTACGTGTTGGCTTACGAACTTATCTTCCCACCTTTGATTTGCTTCCATACTACGTATCACTGCATTACCAAATTTCCCCCAAACAATCCCATTCTTCATTTTTAATAGACCCTTTAATATTTATTTTCTCAATGTGACTTTTTGATTCAGTGATTGAAAGGTCTCATATCACGATCAGTGTATGTTGATACTTGGTTTTTACATGTGATTTGTGACACCTCTCAAAAACATAGATTCAAATGGAAGAAATACATTGTTTGAATGTTAACAGTTTTCATCCCAACCAATATTTTTAGAGCTTGTCTTTATGTTCTGGGTATTTGGTTCTTCATTGAGACCTTTCAATCAATGAATCAAAAAATACAAAATCGGAAACAAAAAATGCATGAAGCACATTTGATCACGTAGTTTTACCAAAAATGTTTTAGTAATAAAAGTTGACTTTTACAATGAAATGCAATCACACTATTTCCCAAAATCTGTTTTCATGAGAAAAAATTAACATGTTAAATATATTACCATATAGCTAAAATTTCCATTTTGTGTATTTTACAATGTATGTAGCAAACTGCTATAGTAGCACATGTATAATTGGAGTACATACTAATTTTGAACTGGTAGGTACACTCAAAGGAGTTTTGACTGATCTAGAGAAGTAAAAACTAGAATAAGATGTGAGGTTATGGTACACAGATACAAGTTGATAGGAAGCAGCATGACAATTACTAAGATATCTAAGTATATGATATGGTAAAAGAACAAGGTTAATAGATCTAGGCTTCGAGCACCAAATGGCAGCTAATAACACACAAAAAAGTAGGCATTATGTTCTTTCTGATGGAAAAACACAGCACCGCTTACATGTGATGTAACCTTGCCCTCAAATTAATCCTCCATGGTATCACTACCAATTTACAGAAAATACAGACAGATGTATGTGGGATGCAAATGACAGAATTTAAGTTGGAAAACTTTAGAACAAATGAAGCAGTTTCTAAGAAATAAATTGCAAGGGGCAATGGACTGGAGGGGAAGGAACAGAGTAAAAGATATTTCTAGCAATCATCATGTATGGATCATATTTGGAAAACCTGATTAAAACTGCAAAACACATATGACTAGAAATTTGAATGCTCACTTGACACAATGTTAAGAAATTATCACTAACTTTTGGTGTAACAATGATACTGTGGTTCATTTTTTAAATGGTCCTTAACTTTTAGAGCTATATACTGATTTATTTACTGATGAAATAATATCAGGAGAGATTAGGTAGGTAAGGGTCTAAATGAAATAAGACTGACCAGGAATTGATGACAACTGAAGCTAGCACATGGAGATCCATTTCATTATTCTGTACTGTTTTTGTATCA